CCCACACACACACACAGACACACAGAGAGTGTGTGTGTGTGAGCGTTGGTAAATCAACATTTGCGTTTAATTTTATGGTAAAAAGCACTTTAATTTAGTTGCCAAAGCTATCCGAGTCGAGCCATCGAATGCCATTTTGGCTCTAATCCCATTAATTCAAATTCAAAGCGAATACCAAATTGCTTGGCTTCCGGCTATCAAGTGAACTGATTTGCTCTTCTTCTTCTTCTTGCTCGTCTTCCTCTGCTTGTTCTTCCCTTTTTGCCAGCTGTGCTTTTTGTTAACAAACAATAAAAAAAGAATTGAAAAGCATTGTTTTCGTTGAAAAATATTTTTCCCAACTATTTTATGAAGGTTTCTCGGCGTCGTCTTTTGTGCAAAAGTCCTCTACTCAGGCAGTGAGAGGGGGATAAACTGTTGGCTGGCCACGTGAAGCAATCAAATCCTTGGACATCCTTGAATCCCGGCTTGAATGAGTTTGCTGAGTGTTTGATTTCGATTATTACGAATCACTTTCAATTATTACGAATCAGTTTTCCAATTTGGGCAGGCAAAATTGAAAAGGAAAAGCTGCAAATTTTACTTTTAACTTGGATTTGAATTCTTGTTTTGTTGCCAGTAAAAAGTCAATTAAGATTTAAATGAGTCAAATTGTGTGACTTGAGCTTGAAAGAATTATCAATAGAAAATTAGAAATAAATAATAAATAAAAAAAACAGCTCAAAATTCACTTAATCTTACAAATATTTTAAAAACATCTAAGAAAGCTCTTCTGAAGTTGGGGCTGTTATTTTTGCAGCTATATATATATATATACATCAATATATATTATATTAAAGTGATTTTTGCTGTCTGGCAGCCATTTTTAAATTTCACTTATGGATTTGCTATTTCTGCCACTTATAAAGAAAAACTTTCAACAATTTGCTTACGTTGCGCATTATGCAAATTTTTCAACTGTAGTCAAGAAAACTTATTTCTCTATATATATAATTTTTGTTCTTTTTTCTGATCCGCAGCTGGTTGTGTTTTTCGTAGGCCCGCTCTAAGTGAGTGAAAAACGAAAATCCCTGAAAAATTCCGAAAAGAAAATGTTTGCTTTTTGCCAACAGCGAAAAAAAAACTGCGCGAGTTTGTTTTGCTTGGCAGAGAGAGTAAAGGTTGAAGAGGGTGGGGGTGAAGCGGGAGGCGCGCATGTGTGCGAACATATTGAACACCGAATTTGAAGCCTTTGGCAAATAGCAAGAGCAAGAGGCAGGCGTAGTCCACCCCCCTTCTCCATCCCCAACCAATTGGAATAAAAGTGAAATGCAAAAAGAGAAAAGTACTCACAGCAACAACATCGGAGATGACTCAACCTCTCTTTGGCTCATCCTTTTTCTTTTTCTTTGCTTTGCAGCTGCAGAATCACTTCATTTATTACACTTGGCACTTTTCACAATTTATATTGACACCCGTTAACAAATTAACAGAGAGAATGAGAATGAGAGAATGCAGTTGGATCACTGAGAGAGCAGCTGCGTTCCCAGTATTTGCCTTCTCTAGCAATGCATTGCTCGCATATTGCACAGCAAGCTTCAAGACTTGCCAGAGCCAGGCGCATAGCCCCCTTTGAGAGAGAGGGAGAAACAGAGACACCTATATATGTTTACGTATGACAATTTCCAATTTATTTTTGATATATTCGAAGACTTACAGTTATAGTGCACAAATAAATTGCTTCGTACAAATTGTAGAAAAAAGTGAGCACAGCTATTTTTAGTTAGGACTAAGCTACATAATAATTATATAATATAGATATACGTATTTAGTATATATATGACAAAATGGTATATAGAATATGTGTGTGTGTGTATTTAATTTAGTTCATGTGAATGCAGCAATTTTAATTCATACTTAAAACAGTATTCCAGTTTATAATCTTTTGGCCACACAATAACCGCAAACGAGTATAACAGAAACAAAATGACATACAGTTTGAGATGAATTGCGCACAAACTAATGATATACATATATGTTGTATGTATGTGTGTGTTTGTGTGTGACAAATTTAATAAATACTTTTTCGTTGTATGCTTTTTGGTTTGACTGTGTGTGTATGTGTGTGTATGAGTGTGTGTGTGTATTTACATACAAATAAATAAACTACAAATATAACATAATATTGTGTGTAAAAATTAACTTTGCTACAAATACAACAAAAATGGCGGCCAACTTTCTGATTGGAAACCTGTATATATCTTTGTGTGTGTATGTATGTGTTCTACAAAAAGTTCCAGTTCCAGTTCCATCAAATTCTTATTCCATTTTGGCAGCTTCCAGCGAAAGTTTCTCAAGTTCATTTTCCCTCTCGCTCTCTCTCACTCTTTCTTAGACTAGGGGCGTTGGTGATAATGTGGCACGTGTTGTTCGAGTCGGTGATTTTGTGGGCGTGGCGGCGCCACTATTGTTGCCACTTCCAGTGCAACTTCCATGCAAACGAAATAATTCACCTACTGTGATGGAAACCTGAACGGCGCCTTTACCTTCCAGCACATCGGCAGAGCAGCAAATTAAATTCTGTGAACAAAAATTGAATTATTAATAATTCAAAAATAGCCCAAATTAGATCACTAAACAAATTTCAAAGTTTATACAGCGTTTTGAGAGCCGCTGGGTTATGTGTCACAGCTAAGCTAGGATGGAGCACAATTGCTCTCGAACTGTACCGTGGTTAGTGAAACTAGTTTTTTTGTCTCGCATATTTTCGTATATAATTTTTGTATTTCCTTCTCTTGCTGCTTATAATAAATGCAACTTGTAGCATAAATGAAATTTATATATATTTTTTTAATTTATATGTTGTTTTTTTATATAAATGTTTTTTCTTATAATAAATGCAACTTTGCTGGTTGTTTGGCTTCATTGTTTCAATTTTGTTTTGTGGAACGCGGCTCATAAATATATATTTTAATAGATACATAGTTGCGAAAAAAATAATAGCACCACTGTGAAATTTTCTTTACGAAGGAAAAAGTATTTGGTTTGGCAATTTTTTTATATTTTTTTTATGAGTTTTAATATATTGTTTATTACTCCACCTATAAATTACAGTTTGTAAAGCTTCTGGAATTCTTTTCAATATATGTAAGCTTTTGGAAGCTTATCTTTTGATAGTAGAGCTATAATTTTATTCGCAACTGTTTTTTTTTAATATATTTATATATACGTATACGTAATTGATTCATTAAGTTTATCTCCTTTTTCTTTTGATTGTTTTTCGTTGACAGTGTCGCAAAATGCTCGTCTTTGTTAAATGTCGTTTATAAAAATTAATGACTATAATTAAATTTTGATATATATATATATTTTTTTTGCATTTCTTTTAGCTGCCTGAATGTTTTCTTTTTTTTGTTAGACAAAATATAAATATGTTGTGTATATGTTTTTATATTTTTTAAGTACTACTTTAAATATTAATCATAGCTATGCAAGTTTACGAGTGAGTGAGTGTGTGTGTGTGTGTGTGTGTGTGTGTGTTACAAAGTTTGTGTTTCTTAAAGAATTTTGATTAGGTTTTTGTTTTTTTTTTTCAAGGAGAGTTCTTTAAGTACTTATAGAATATATGTGTATATTTAAAGATTTATATAAATAGAAATTAATCAAAAAGCAAATTATATATTATATATAATTAGAGTTAGGAATGTTTTCATAGTTATAAATAATATAAGTGTAGTCATTGGATTTTCACTCACTAAGGTTAGTTTAAAAAACTAAAACATAGTTTTACAAATTTGTTAATTGTTCGAAAAGTTTATTGATAAGTTAGCTTGTAGTGTGCGTGTGTGTTGGTATGTGTGTGTGTCATATATAGTATATAGATGGATATACATATATATAGCATATTTGGGGACTGTTCAAAATCGAGTCAGTCAAAGGCACTATTTATTTATTTGTGTTGAGAATCGTGTGCGTTGCAAAGATTGTTCAAGTATTGTGCGCTATTGCTTCAAGATATATATTTATATATTGTATTGATTTTGTTGATTTAACTATTTCACGCTTGTTTCTACAACTATTTTGTGTCCCTGCTCATTCAAACCGTTCCATTTCTACCAGCTAATATCTGGTAATATTCCCCAACGCCCAAAATTGGGTTGCTCAAATTACAACAATCTCTAATTCTCAAACTCTTTCAACTTGTTTCTATAACTATATATTCTACTTAGTTCGACTAACTAAACGGAACTCAAATCGTTGTAAACTAACATTACAGTTATATATGTTGTATATAGTGTATATTATTGAAATAAAGCGTTTGTTTTAAGTGGAAGTACTTTAAACTGGGGCAAATGGAAATTAAATGAAAACAGAATTTAAATTTAGTTTTTGTATAAGTATATATTATATATAGTATGGAAATCAAGCGTCTTTTAGTTAATGAAAACTGATCGTTTTTAGTTTGTTTTAAAGTAACATTAAAGGTATATTTAAATCAAAAGTATGTTTTCAAAGTTGCAACTGGAGTTTAAGGAACTGAAATGACAACGAAACTCAAATCAAGTTTTAGTTATAAATCTTATTTACTTTGCACACTCGGAAAAAATATTGACCTGAATTTAGAATAAATCTATACTATATATATTTTCAAAGTAGAAATATTTGTAAATCGGAACTCAAATCAAGTTTCTAGTTTGTTGTAAGCCTAACAATGTAGATATATATACTATATAAAGTATATTATTGAAATCAAGCGTATGTTTTCAAAGTAGAAATACTTGTAAGCTGGGCCATATATATATGGAAATTATGATGTATATATGAATGTATATATATATATGTGTGTGTATTGGTTTAGTCATGAATAAATCTCACATAATAGCAAATACAATTTCAAGGGAATACCCTTATACAAAGTCTTTGGGGTTGTATATATCAAGTTAGTGAATTGTATACATAAATTATACTTATATATATATCTATATATTATATATATATATATATAAACTAAGTTTAGCACTAAACATAAGGAAAAAGCAGCCTCAAATGAACTCACTACAAGAGTTTAAATATTTAGTATGTCTGTTTACAAGTGTTTAAATATTTAGTATGTGTCTGTGTTTAGTATAAAAGCTGATACTTAATAAATAATGGGCAGTAAAAGCTACAAATTGAGAAGAGCAACAGTCAAAGATAGCTGACAAGATGATGAATGATGATGTGTGGCGGCAACTGTTGCTGATGTGGCAACTGCAATTCTTGCTGCTGCTGTGGATAGATGTTCTTGTTGTTGCTGCTACAAATTGTCAGCCAGGCACTGGGAAGAGCTGAAAAGATGTCACCAACTGTTGCTGCTGATGTTGCTGCTGCTGTTGACAGCTGCTAAAAAGCTGTGGCTTCATTGTAACCAGCTACTTTGGCTGCTGTTGTTCCTGCTGCAACTGTTGCTGCTGCTGTTGATAGCTGCTGGGGAACTGCATTTGTCGCTGCTGATCGAAGAACTTGGCTAGCAGTTTGTTGCTGACCAATTCCTTTGTCTGCTGTAGCGCAACTGTTGCTGCTGCTGATAGATGTTGCTGTGGCTGCTGTGTCAACTGCAACCATTGCTACTGCTATTGATAGCAACTAAAGACCTCCAGTTGTCGCTTGATTGTAGGCGACTCCTTTGGCAGCTGCTGCTGCTACTGTTGTTCCAAATGTTGCTCCTGCTGCTGTTGTTGACAGATGCCAAAGAGCTTCAGTTGTGACTTGTTTCTGGCCAGCTCCTTCTGCTGTTGCAGCAACTGTAGCTGTTGTCGCTGTCACAAGGTGCTAACCGGGCAATGGGAAAAGCATCAGCCACAAAAAGCTGGCAATGAAGACGCAGGACAAAATGATGGTCAGCGTATGAGAGTCGTGTTTGAGCAACGACAAATTGCCAGCTTCGTGTTCCTGCTGTTGCAGCTTATGTGGCGGCAACTGTTGCTGTGGCAACTGCAACTGTTGCTGCGGCTGTTGATAGATGCTAAAGACCTCCAGTTGTGGCTGCTGCTCAAAGAACTCAATGCGCTTGGCCAAAGGTTTAATTGTGGGCAAGTCCTTTGGCTGCAATTGTTGCTGCTGCTGGTGCTGCTGTTGCAACTGTTGCTGCTGTTGCAACTGTTGCTGCTGCTGCTTTTCGTCTATCAGGTGATAATGTCCAGCTGGTCCAGCTGATGCCACATCGTGTTCGCTCTCAATAATTGTTTGCAGTGTTGAGCAGCGATTGTTGTTGTTGTTGCTGCTGCTGCTGTTGTTGTTGCTGTGGTGCAATTGAAAACTTTGGTGGCCATTTAACAAAAGATTCTTTTTGATTTTATCAAAAGTTTTCAATTTGGCACTGCGCAGAAGTTGACCAACTGTGGCAAGTGGTTGCTGCTGCTGCTGTGGTGGCAACTGTTGCTGTTGTGGTTGGCTTGTTGCTGCCACATCATCATCATCAACATCAGCATCAACATTATTATCATGCCCAATAAATACATTAGCTAATTGCAACATCTGTTCTGGCTGTTGGCTGCAGGAGTTGAATTTGGACGACGAAAACTGTTGCTGCTGTTGTTGCAACTGTTGCAGCTTTAGTTGCAATTGCTCCTGCTGCTGCAGACAGCGCACATGCTGCTGCTGATGATGTGGATTCGCATCCAACGCAATTAAAGCAGCCACCGTTCGCAATAAAGCCACAGCATTTGGCAACTGTCTTCGCTCAATGTTGCTGCTGCTGTTACTGTTGTTGCTGTCGTTCCCATGCCCGTTGCAACTGTTGCTACTGCTGCTGCTGCTGTCAGCAACATAGACATCAGCATCATAGTCATCGTCAGCGCGTTGCTCTTGGTGTTGTTGTGGCACAACATCGGCACAGTAGCAAATCAACTCCTGCAACCAACAACCAATAACAGTTTTTATTGCATCAACTTTTTTGTTCTCTTTTTTGTTTTGTGTGTGTGGTTGTGTGTCGTGTGTTGTGTGTGCGTGTGTATGTATGTAATGTGTGTATATTGAGTTAGGAATGAGGTGTTAGATTTTGGCAGCTGTTTTTCTTCTCTACAAAAGCGACAAAAAGCATTTGAAATTTGCCCCACAACCAATGACTGAAAGTTTTTAACTCAACGGTGTTGCTTAACTTTTAGGGGAGACTGTGGCACAGTTTTTAAGGAACTTTAAATACGCACCTCATCCACACCAATGCGACGACAGGCCTCCAGAAAATTATCCACATTGCGACGACACCGTGCCATGGACAATTTGTTCTATAAAGTTGGAGCAAGGATTTAATATATAAATAAAATATATAAAATAATGTTTGTACAGCGGATGAGATAGAGATTATAACCGATAGATGTCTGAAAATTATATATCTATTATATATTATATCTCGGCTGAAAGACTCTCATAATAAGAAAAACCCAACTATCAATCTAGAATTTATATAGTGATCAAATCAGAGAGATTTCAATCTGTCTTTGATGCCTGTATATATATATATCTCTATCAAAGATTTTAGAGATACCTTTATAAATAACTTTATAGTGGAAGAGCCCTATCTACAATTTTGATATCTCTATAGATATATGTAGCAAAGACTTCGGAGATACCCCGAATGATATGTTTAGCGATACGTTATCTCTATCAACATCTATTGAGACACCTCTTTACCTATGTCTCTACAGTCGATGAGTGTAATCAATTTTCTGGTTGTCTTTCGACAGAAAAGATTCCATGGAAACGATACCAGAATATATATCCCCTAAAAAGACTTCAGAGATGTATTAAAAGAATATTGTGTATATAGAAAAACTTTACATATTGTAAAGGTCAAATATCACTCGATTTATAAATAGATACTTTAGTATATATCTCTAACCGCTGTACAATCATTGCTTTAACCAAGCTGAGGACTCACCACACCGGGCGATGGCACATGAATGCTGGCCACCGAGCGAGGGCGCACATAGTTGGCCAAATGACAGAGTATGACGCCGTCGGTGAGTGCCGATGCAATATCCTCGGGCAGCGTCATCTTCAAACGCGTCTCAATGATCTGCAAAGATGATAAATATTACAAATTATAAGAAATATACCATTATTTTTTTCAAATGCTGATTTCAAATATATTGTTTAGTATTCAATTAAAATTTTAATAAATCGATTGCTGTTATATCTTATCGCAATTCTATATATTAAAATGCCGACTTACACTTCTCAGCTGTGACATGAGTTCGGTTTCTTCGCGTTGACGATCGAATTCGCGTCGCATTGTGAAACTAAGCTTCTCGGCAGGTATATCATGATTCCAGGTGACTGTGCGATGGGTTTTCACATTGCCCAATTTACTCGTGGCACTCACTGGTGACTTTATCAAGCCAGAGCCACCCACTGCACCACCACCTGCACCACTGCCATTGGACGTATTAAACTTGCTGCTGCCGCTGCCATTATTGTTGCTGTTGGTCAAGACTCCGACTCCAACTCCAATTCCGACGCCATTTTTCAGTGGACTATGCGGTTTTACATAGCCCACACAATGGGCGCCATTTGTTTCTGAGGCGACTGGCGATTTTAAGGCCAACGTTGACATCAGTTCTGTGTTGCGTGATGGGATCACTTTCTGTATGGGTTTCTTTGGTATAACCACATCATCGATGCCATTTCCATTGCCATTGCCATTGCCGTTGTGCCCATTGCTGCTCGGCTGCTTCATAATTGACTTGGGCAACGTGGCGGTTGAGCTGCCGTTGCTGAGACAACGTGGCGGCAACTCCTCCTCATTGGGACTCGTGTTGGCATTGGGATGCTTCTGCTTGTAGACGCTGCTAATTTCCTGATTACGCTGCTGCTTCAACGCATCCTTGTACTCCCTGTGTGAAGGTGGGCGAAATGTGGTTAAAGTGGGTGTATTTGATTTCATTTGAAATAGCAGATGCACAACTTATCAAGGCGAAAAATATACTATAATGTGAGCATAAGATCCGATCTAAGAATGATTTATGACAATAAACCTAAAAATAAAATTAAACTGGATAGCCAGCCAATGGGAGACCAAATGGAACGAAAAGCCAGATCAAGCTGCCTATCAGAGACCTTGAAACTTCCCCTTATTCATATATCTAATAATAGCACCCTCTTTCTAAAAATATACATCAACGAAAAGCAAAACAAACTCAAAGAAAATACTTTAAGTTGATATCAGCAAATGAACAACAGTCACTCAAATTATGTTATCTATATGCCCAACAATAGTCTACACAGAAGACAGCAAATAATTATATTATATAATTATAATTATGACTTCCTTGTGGTACCTCCTAAGGTAACTTGAACAGACTTGGAGAAGGTTAAAGAATTTGATTGGGTTGGAAATCCCAGCAGATTGAGTTAATGATTCGGCTCAGTTCCTTGGCAACCAGAGCTGAACCAGAGCCGAATCCAGTCAGGGGTTTATGAATTTCGCAATCTTAATTGGTACGAATTCTACTAAGAACGTTAGGTCGATAAGAAACTGGGCTTTCCACAGGGTCTTCCTGGTGTTTATGAGATTCCTCTTTTTCCTCCTCATTACAGCTTCAGCAGAAATCATTTTAGGGGGTCTTGGAGTCCATTGAGAGAGAATTAAGTTGAGACGCTAAGCAGGTTGTGCAACTGAGATTACAGAACTGTTTGCCGTGTTTTGTGCTTATTATGAAGGAGTGTAAGTAAATTCCGTTTCCAAGCCTCAAAAACAAAAGAATTTAAATACCACTTTCTACTCACTTGTAGGTCTGAATGTTGTTGAGACTCTTGTTCAGCTTGCCATTGCTGCCGTGAACGCTGCGCTCCTGATGGTCCAGCATCAGATCCTCATCCTGATCCGGTGATGAGCTGTTGCTCGAGCTGTTCGAGTGGGCGTAGCTGATGTTGTTGTGCGATGATGAAGTAGATTGTTTGTAGGGCGATGCTACGGGCGAGATGCCCGCACTTAAAGTCAGACTCTCATCGACAATGGTGCTGGTGCTGGAGGTGAGCGATGCATCCATCAGATCACTACTTAGCGGCAACAGTTGTTGATGTGATTGACTATTGGTGCTGGAGGGCAATGCACGTGGTAGCGTTGCACAGTGCATGGGCGAGTCAGTCTTCGATTTGCCGGGCACATCGTGAGACCAACGCTTGTCCAGACCATCACTGGTGCTGTAACCGGAGTCGATTTGATGGCGTGCCGCATGCCGCTGACTGGTCGAAGTTTCCAGCATGTTGCCACTCGAATTGTGGCGTGGTGCACGTCGCAACGTTGTGTAGCCATCGTAATTGCCACCGACCCGAGAGCCCTTCTCATCTTTGGTCGCCTGCGTCTCCAGAAACTTGAACACGTGCACCAGTCCCCGCATGCAGAGCTGTAAATTGAATAGATATAAGTGAGTATGAGTATAGAGAATGTGGTGTATATAGAGTCTAATTATATGGAGTATGATTGTTCCCAAGAAAACTAAATGATATAGTAATCCAATGTTGAAAATTTGCTATCCAAAGAGATACGCGCATAATAAGCTGGTGACTTGAACTAGAATAACTTATTAAGGAAAAAGTTCTTTAGAAAAGTTAAATTTTTATAAAAACTACTTCTTGTATTGTCCAATGTTCTAGCACAGATTATTAACTTAAATAGGATTGTTTAAAAATAAATGCAGAACTGATAGCATATCTTATCAGTTAGAGTTGACAATGAATTGATGCCGCTTTCTACATTTAGATAATTATACTCTGTCTGTTTAAATGCAATACTTCTCCAGTAGACTGGCAATAACTCTTTGTATCCATTAATAATTGATCTAACCAGTCAGAAACAAATTACGATCTATCTAAATACTCCTCAGTTCTCTGAAGGAACTTATAAAGCCATTAAACTTAGAGCCATTAGACTGTGCCTTAAAAAATCGGCTCATTTTCTGAAAATGAATCCTCTAAAGAGCATAATAACCATTCGTACTAAGAAGAATCCTTATATTACTCAAAGCATTACCCAAAAATACATTTTATGGGGATACCCAACCTCATGGAGAGCAAGGGACCCACAAAGATAGATAAAGCTGTCGAACAGACCAATAAACGACCCAATTTTGTGTTTTTTTTTTTTTTGTATAATATTTTTATGAAGAGGGTGCTATTGTTAAGTGTACAAATCCTAATAATAGCACCTTCTTCCTAAAAATATGCATCAATGAAAATCGAAACGAACTCAACTTCAAACTGGTATCAACAAATGAAAAATAGTCCCTTAAATTATCTCGATTCCAATTATATTCTTCACAGCTGAGAACTAATGAAGAAATAATGATTAGCAGAATCCGCGTGGAACACTCTATTTTATCAGCAGAATCCGCGTGGAACACTCTATTTTATCACGTTTACTTAGATAAAAAGTAGTTCACCGTCACATTTTCAATATAGAAAATGAAAATTATATTTACTGTCCAACTCATATAGATAATTATATATTTATCTGCATTTCAACCTAACCTAACCTAATATTCAAAATAAATTAAATATTTTCTATATTGACAATGACGCAATTCCAATATCTGTTATGACAACATTTCCATTGTCCATTGTTCTAACATAGATTATTTATAAATTTAGAATTGATAGCATGTCTCTTATCACTTAGATGATTCTGACACAGCTAGTTAATTACCCTCTGACTCTTTGACTACAATACTCATCCCCGTTACAACCTAACCTAATCCAATATTCCAATTAAATTCAATATTTTCTCTACAGAAAATGACCATTATATTTACTGCACAACAACAATTTCTGTAAAGCCTACTTTTCTATTGTTCACTCATCTAATGCAGATTATTTATAAATTTGAATTGATGAAATATCTTATCAGTTAGAGTGACTATGAATTAATGCCTCTTTTTACTACATTCTACTATCGCTAGGTACTTGGAAATATTTTGTATTATTAAGATTTGTTGTGGCAACACTTACGCTTGCTGGTGGCGAGGTGAGAGGATTGTTCTCCAGCTGCAGTTCGACGAGGGTGCTCATGTGGCGAATCTCGAGTGGAAGACCCGCAATTCGATTGTTGCTCACATCCAGCGAGACGAGACTGAGGCAGGTCACTTCCCGGGGCAAGTAGAGCAGCTGATTGCTGCGCAGCGAAAGGGAGCGCAGAGTGCGCAATTCCCCCAGGCGCACTGGCAACGCACTCAGCTGATTGTAGGATGCATCCAGATCGGTGAGTGTCTGATCCAAGCGACCCAATTCATCGGGCAACGAGGCCAGTCGATTATTGGACACAAGCAACACTTGCAACGGCAAAAAACAAATCTCACGTGGCAATGTAGTCAACTGATTGCTACGCAAATCCAAATAGGTAAGCGATGACAGCTGCTTCACCGATTCGGGTATGCTGCGTATCGTGTTGTGATAGAGCATCAGTGTCTCCAGGAAAGCAAATGTTGTTATCTCCTCGGGCAGTTCACAGAATCTATTTCGGGACAGATCTGTAAATAAGAGAACAATTTAAGCAGTGAGCAATTAATATATATATATAAATATAAAGGACTGCATAATGTTGAAAATATTTCGAAAATCGTATAATTTTTGGAGCAGATAAAACACTTTAAATTGGACTTTTTTGCAAAAAACAAAAACCAAAACTCATTTTTTCAGAAAGATGTATTTTTAAGTTTTGCTGCAGAATTGGTGAAAAGAGGCATAAAATTGTGGAAAATAGGAGGCCTCCTGCTTGAAGACAGGAAGAGAGGGAATCGAAGGAAATTTAAGTTTTTTGAGTTAAACTTTTATCACTGCTGGAGGCAGCTCGACGTTGACTCCAGTGGAGCACATGACCTCAATATGCCCCGGCAATTTACGATTTAACTACTCTACACTCTCCCACCAATCCCCTCTCCCCTCACTCCCCTCTTCCCACTCACGCCCCACTCAAAGCTACCCATCAAGAACATTGTGGAATGGGCAATTAATTTACTAAATGAATTTGCATGCAAAATGAGCACGTAAAACAACAAGAATTGTGCCAAGGGGGTGGCATGTGGCATGTGTACAGAGGGGCAGAGTGCGGTGAGGGTTGAGGCAGAATGGGGCACAGACAATGTGGCTAGTTGTGGTGGCTTGCAAACGCAAATAGACCACAATTTATTGTGCACACGGAAATTGGTGCGTAAAAGCTTCCAAAAAATGGGCGCAGAATATGAAAGAATAGAGGAATTTTGTGTTTAGTTTAAGTTAAGTTTAGTTAATGTTAAGGTGGAGCAGCTATATAATATAATTTTAACTGAGGCCGCCTGGAGTAGCTCGGATTACATTTTAGCTCAAGTGACTATCAATATTTTATAATGTAGAATCCTCCAATTCCTAATCCACATTTAAGTTATTGCATAACAAAGTTAGCTGATGAGTTTAGTTCTGATAATTTGCCAACAAAAAAGGTATTTAGACAAGAACACATCTTTCATATAGTAGTTTGAGTTTGATACTATTTAATCCACGTGTTGGGAGTATATTATTAAGCAAATAGAAAAGTATTTCTTTATAAGTCTTGGTGATTTTTCTAAGTGTGGTGTCTGGCCCTGAGCTCCCAGCTCAAAGTAAGCTGAGCTGTTGCTGTTTTCCCGAGTATCTCGGATGCTGCACGGCGAATCCAATTTCCGCTTGAATTTTTCCGTGCAACAGATTAAACCGATTCCAGAGAGAAGTGATGACGTAACATGACAAAAATAAGAGTCCTTGACACATCCTGTTGCCAGGGTAAAGTTTATTCAACTGCAGGCGGCAACATTGTGCATCTTAAGCACAGCTGCCTTTGTCTCTGTCTGCTAAATGCTTTTTAGCATATGCAACAAAAAGGGTGAGGCAGGACCGGGAGGAGAGTGGAGAGCGGAGGGGGAGGGGGGAGATGAGAGTCGATGAGGGGCATCTACACTAATGCGAAGCCATAGCGAGCATTTAGCCAAGCCGCACCCCAGCACATGTTGTTGCCTCTTGTTGTTGCTGAAAGGCAAGCATAAAGCAATCTTCGCTGGCTGGCCTATAAACAACACACGCATACACTCAGAGAAAAATCGCCCTAAAAATAGAAAGTTTTCCCAGTTTAAAGAAATACTTTCTAAATATCAAGAAAAAAATGTCGAAATCGACAATTCCAAAAATCTGGCGCTTTTCTTCTCAATTTTTTTTTTTTGAAAAATTAAGCCTGAAATTGAGAAATGCAACATAAAGATTAGAAATTTGCTATCTGAATATGGTAACAATATATTTGTCGTTTTTTTCTGAGTGTAGACTTAACATACTCCGTGTGTGTGCGTGCAACAATAGCAACAACAACAACTACAACAACAGCAGCGTTGCAGTTGCAAGAACAACAACAAGTCAAATGCCAATGTTTGTCGTCAGCCAGTTTTCAGAGTACTTATGCAAAAAAGTGGCTGATGGATTCGCATTTCTGGTTTCAGTTTTTTCCCTGCTTTTGTTGCATAAGCCGCATGCATCACATAAAAACATAATGTGAACATTTGCCACAACTGGTTGTCGCTTGTAATTCCGTCCAACTAGTTCAAAAACTGAAGTTTTGGCTCTAATCTTTTTCGAGTGTAAAATAAACTAAATTCAAATCATTAAAAAACTATAAAAATGTTGGTTGACTTTTGTCATTAATGTAATTTGACATGTTTTTGAGTTATCTTCATCACATTATTTTAATTACAACTCAAAGGTTGTTTTTTTTATGGCTTTCAAACTAGTTTCGAAGGTTGAGTAATAATAATAATAATAAGCTGAATCAAAAGACGAAATTGGAGGAACGCTGTCTTTAAAATAATTGTATCGCAAGCTCTTAAGTTTCTCTCTATTAGTAGTTTCACTTCGTATATATATTAATTATAATCATTGCAGCTTTGTCGACTTTACACATATCAGGGTTAGTAATTTTCTGAGTGCAGACACCAGTTGTTGTCTGCTATTGCTCTTCTTCTTCGTCGGTTTTGGCCAATTGGCTTTAAGCCAAAAAAGAAACAACGCAATGCGCAAAAACAAAACTGCGATACACAAAATGAATCAAATTTGTTTTTGTATTGCTAGTTTTTTTCTTGTTTTTCTTCTTTTTTTGCGTGGTTGTCGCGACGCCAACAAAATTGGGAATTGGATCGCACCACCATTTGGGGCATCTGTGTGGCAGACACACCTGCAGCACAGCTCATAAATATTGAGTGCCGAATGTACTACTCGCATTACTCATACACTCAGGAAAAAAATCGCTCTAAATTTAAGTAAATTTCACTGAAAGCTTGAAAGTTCTTCTAAAAATGAAAAATGGAAATAGAGAAAATCACTTCTAAAATTCAGAAACAAGAAATGCAATTTACGGTTTTGTCTTTTATATTAGAATTTATCTGTTGTCTGTCTAGAGAGATCTTAAAAGACAAATGTTTATTACCAAAATATAAGCAACAAAAATCGACTATAAGAATTCTTCACAATAAAAAAACAATACCCTACAAGTTAGACATATTTTTCATAAATGTTATAAAAATAAATAAATAAACTGTAATCAATCATCAACGCTTTACGGTCGGTTTTTTGCTGAGTGTACAGAAAGGGTGCAGCGTGGCAAGGGCATCCATTTGATATGTTGCAGGGCGGAAGCAGCAACAAATTAAATTGATGGCGCTACATTCCACACAAGAAGCAATAACAACAACTAAAACTGAGCTCTTTTTTTGGAGCTGTTGTCCATTTTAAATTGGGAACCATTTGAGTACTCGTGACTGGTTTATTCCGGGTGCTTGGCACACGCTGTGGCTTCTATTGATGGATTTATTGAAATTAATTTGACTCAATTTTATTGCCGACTCTTGATCATCATCATGATAATGTTGATGATGATTATGATGATGTTGACTTGTTTGTGTTGGGCACACTTTTGAAATTATGAATCACAATGGAGTCAAGAGAGACAGACTGAGAAAGAGAGAGAGAGAGAGAGAAAGAGAGAGAGAGAGAGAAAGAGTCAAGCAATCAAGTTTCCCATTTTGGCAATGTGGATATAAATATGGATGTAGTTGGATATGGATAGATATGCGGTTGACTGGAAATGTAATTTATATGGCCAAGTTTCCATTACTATTTGCGCACATAAATATATGGATAGATTGGGCAATCAGTGTTGGAAAGGAATTGAAAGCAGTAAACACAAAAGAAGTAGTAGAGTAGACATAGAATCAAAATTGAACGACTATATTCTATAGCTGTCATATATTAGAATTACTATCGGTTCTAATTTTTAGGAGTAGAAATTGTAATGAATTAAAAAGTAATACTCTTTAGTATTTAGTAGTATAAATTGTATTCTATTGAGAAGTAGTAGGCTTTAGTGATCTGATCTATAATCTGACAATGATTTAGACATAGTATATAGGCTATAGCCTTGAAAAGTTTTTACCAGTCCCTAAAATCTTTCTTTCTTTTTTTAAACTATATTTTGAATATGAACCCAAATTCAGTATTAATTTATAGCTCAAACCATAATCAAAAAGCTACGATTTTTTTTATTATTTAATCGCTTTTGAAAATTTGTTGGCAATTCTTACACATTTGTGTTCTGAATTTTTGCATAAATTTCAACAACCATGAAGATTAAACAAAGTAAAAAAAAAGAAACACAACTTTATCAAATTTGAGCTTCCTGCGAAACAATTTGGCTTTGTGGTTTTGCTCAGCAATCTCCATTTAATTAGTCCGAATTTTGTTATTCAAATTCACAATCTGTTATTCATTATTTATTATTCATGTGAATGCAATGCTTTTGCAAATGCTAATGTTGGATGGTGATTATTCCCACAGTTTGACGAACTGTTTGCCTATCGCTGAGCAAACTCGATTTGCAAATAGTCCGCAGCTGAGAAAATACAAATCAAATTGAACACTTATCATATGGTTCAATCCCGCTGCTTCTGCCCAACCCTCTCCCATCCTCAATCAATCTTTCAATCTACCTCGAACCAATCAAAACAACAACAACAATAATTAAAAAATCCCGCTTCGAAGTCTTCTGATGAAATCGGATCGGGTTTGCTGCTGGCTGCCATCATTTATTACGTGTTATTATGTGGAAAACGAAGGCATTGCCCCCCTCCTCCTCATGCTTCCCCCCTCCCCCCTTGCCATAATTTTCCCCATTCGCTTCTTACTTAAGAGTCACTCAATACACACACACACACACACACACACACACACACCCTGAAAGATACAGAGACAAAGTTGTGTGTGTTTTTAGTGCTTTGCAATTTCGCAAATATTTTGAATACCCTGCAGATATCAAAAGTGGATAAAGCGGATATAATGAACTTGTGCAAAGGTATGCGACAGGCAGAAGAAATCATCTCTAATTCACTATAATTAGGAAGTGCAGTTCTTAAAATTCGGGCATATGAAGTTCTCAATCAAGATTATTTACTTATTTAATTTTATACATTAGTAACTTAGCTTTATACAGGGTATCTCATAGTCAACCTTTCTCTATCTCGTGCTCTTACTGGCTCATTTAGACATAATGTAAACTTAAGAAACAAAAACAACAATAACAACAACAGTCTGTGTTTGCCAACAGCAAACAAGTATTTAAATAAATATTGAAACATTTCAAGCATAAACAATTTCAATTTTGTTTTATTTTTCATTTTGTTATTGTTTTTGCTGTTAATGATGAATTTTCCCCCGTTTGAGTGCCGCATTTTCTTCTGCATTTTCTAAACAGCTGTGAGTACACTTTTCAACACACACACACACACACAAACAGACATAGACACACACACACACACTAAATTGTTATTGTTGTTGTGGCTATTGGCCTCAATTTATTTGCAGTTCTTTTGTAAGCTGATAGCAGCTATATTAATAGTTGAGTCTTGTTTATCAATGCTTATACGATGATTGATTAACGCTCGTTACCACATTTCTTGTGATACTTGAGGAATGTCTCTCTAATCGAGGGGTCAAACTAACCTTAAAACCGGCACTGTTATAAAGATAGGGCTGCTTAATAGGCAAAGCAGCTAAAACTATTTAATTTTTTTTTATTATTATTAATTTTCATGTTTTTAAGGTGATTTAAAAGTTAAAGCAAGCAAAAATAAACAAGTATATATGGTATATATGCAGTGTATATAGTGAAACTCAATCCCACATCTGACACTAAAATGTAATCCCATTTAAAAATAAATTACTTTGTCACACTTTTCATGATATATGATATCACGATAAGCAGTTCCTGATATTTCATATCACGATGTGCAGCGCATAAACATATAATTATGTTTGTATTGGTGTGGCGCGTGTTACGTTCCCCAATTAAGCTGCACAAATTGTTTATGCCTCAGCGTTTGCTGCTGCTGCCGCTTTTTGTTGCCACACATTGAAAAGGCAACAAAAAAAATGAGTTTATTGCTTACACTCATAAATTAATGAAGCTTTATTTCTGTGTCAAGTTTGCATTTGCTGTTTGGCCTCAATATGTGTGCAAAATGTGAATTGTCCGCTTCAGATGCCGATGCCGATAAATACTCGAGTATTTTAGCTATAGTTAGAAAATGCTGTCAGACAACGATAATATTTCCATTTATAACAACATTTATAATAAACTCATTTTCTACACTTGTAATAAATAAATAAATGAATATTTATTCCTCTTTTTGCTTAGCTTTTCTTATGCGATATTCTTCGACTACTATTTGAGCTGCACTGTGTCATCTCTAGTTTTAATTCCCATTCATTTTGCATGCTGTGCACGCACAGCACAGTTTGACAGTCACTGAGCTCGAAAGACGTGCTCAAAGCAAAAACAATTTTTGATGGCTTCGCTTCCTCTGCAAGCAGACAGCAGACATATAATAAAAACTGTCGGCTTTTAGATTTACACACTACAACAACAACAACACCAACGGAAACTATCTTTGATAGTCGAGCCCCCACCTGCCCCTCCTCTTTTCTACTCATCACCCTTTTAAAATTGTTTTCTTTGTCAACTCGGCAACAACAACAATTTACTACTTTATTGGCTAGTTGCAGCAACACTGGCAGCTGATTGATGTTTTTTACTCAACTTGGCTAATTGAAGTTTTTCCTGTGACGTACAGCAACACTGGCAGCAACATTCATTGCACAGCTGCTCACGTTGCTTCTGCTACCTTTTCGACAACAGCTGCTTGCGCTTTCTGCTCCTTTGCTTACTCAACCTGTTTTAGTTCCAGCAACACTTGCACCTGTTCATTATGCATCTGCTAACAGTGTATTCTGCTGCCTTTTCAGCTTCACCTACTACCTTTTCAGATACTTCCTGCCAGCTTTTGCTGCTCCTTTTCTTGTTGCACTTGTCATGCAATTTACAACTTGTAATTATTTTAAAATAATTTCCTGTTTTTCCTCCTCTGCAAGCAGCAGCTGCTCATTTTTTATTTCCATTTTCTTTGTTTAGTTTTACGTGACAAGCATTCCAATCAGAGGCTCTCAAACTGCACACTGAAAACGAAATGACTTCCAGAGGGGGAAAGAAAGAGAGAGAGAGATGGAGGTGGCGAGTGGCGAATGGTTGCCAGACCACAACAACAAATGGTTCCTTTTTTTGTGGCTAGTCAATGTCTGCCAAACTTTCAAGTACACACGCATCTGCTTTCTCGCTCGTACTCACTCGCTTAACATCCTTGAGAGGGTTGTGATGGCCAAATAAGAAGAAAAACGCATAGAAAAGAAAGGAGGAAAAAATGCTTTTTGACTTTCATTGATTTCTTTTGGGGTTGTCGTTCTATGCTTGAGACTCTTTTGTGTTTTCTCCTCTTCTGCTTCTTCTTCCTCTTGTTTAGCAAATATTTTAGCAACAACTTAATCATGTGCAGGGGGAGGGGATGATGACGATGATGATGTTCACACCAAAAAAGGGGGCAACACTTTTAATTGTTCATTAGTCACGCCCACGCACACACACACACACACACACACACACACACACACACACACATGCAAACACACACACTAATACAAAGACAACGTTTGATGACTCAATTGTGAAGCCGGCAAAACAAACAAGCAATTTTAATTGGAAAATGCCGGAAGCAAAACCGAAGACAAAACTGGGAAAATCGAAGAACAAGCTGTGAAATAAATATTTTTATAATTTGATGTGCAATAGATATTTATATATAATTATATATATATTTTACATAATTAATTACTATTTATGTATTTTTATTAATTTAATTTATTTTATATTTTGTTTATATTTGTTTTATCTATATTTCTATTTCACCACAAAACAAAAGAGGAATTTTAATTGGAAAATGCCGAAAGCAGATTTCAAGACTAAAATGGAACTGAAGAACAAACTGTGAATAAATATTTTTGGTTTTTTTTTTAGTTTATTCAGATTTATGTTTGTATTATACATTTATTTATGCTCTTGTCTCTCGTGTCTAAATTATTTTTATTTTATTTACATTTACGTTTCGTTTGTTTATATTTATATTTATGTGTATTTATAATTATATTTATATTTATTTATATTTTATTTATATATTATATATTTATCTTATCAATATTTATATTTTTATTTTTGCTCCTTTCTCTCTTCAAATATTCCCCCGGCACAGAAGAGGAAGAAGCTGAATTAAACGCACACAGCTGAAAATCGATGCGAGGGTCGTCCATAAAACAGATGGTAAATGGGTGGGTGGAGTGGAGAGAGTGGGAAAGGGTGGGGGTAGTTTATACTTTATGTGTATTGGCTGCAATATTTTCGGGCACAACAAAAACGAAAGTTGGCTGAACTTGAAACGAATGAGGAAGAAAAAAAACCCACCCGAAATGCGAATAGTGCACAAAATGCAAGTGAGAAAAGAAGAAAGGAAAACAAACAGCTGCGCTAATTAAATGTCCTTGGCAGGCAAAAGAGAGAGCGAAAGAGAGCAAAATGTGCAGCTGGACAATTTGAGAGAGAGGGGGAGAGAGATAGCATGCGATGGGCTGCTGCAAATTATTGATTTTCAAGCAGGCAAAAGAAGCATAAACTAAGATGAAGAAAAAGATAAAAACGCACCTGCAATAACGGTATCCGTTAATCCATATTTGCTGCCCGTGTGTGAAATCTTTCAGCTTGCGATTGGTCAATATTAATTCACCGCTAAAATGCGCTTCTTCCAGGATGCGTTCCAGTGATCGCGTCAGCTGCGACTGTCCAAGCATTGGTGAGGCGACACCTCCCCCACCCACCCCCAGTCCAATTCCAGCTGGCGATGTGCTGGAACTGAGCAGGCCACCTCCACCCCCTCCTCCTCCTACCCCGCTGGCATGTTGTAGACGCTTGTAGACTGTGGCTGCCATTGTGTATGTGTGTATGTGGGCGTGGCAGCAGCGACGTCACGCACACAAACAAACAGACAGACAGGCAAACAAAACACAAACAGCTACAAACAATTTGTTGCTGGCATTTTCCAGCTCATTGATAAGATTTCCAAGAATTGGAATTTTTCTTTTGCGGCTTCTCTCCTTCTTCGCCGCTCTTCTCTTCTCTTTCACACACACGCGCGCAAACACAAAACGCACCGAAAGCAAGCGGAGCGGCAACCGCGACGGATAAATCAAACACTCGCCACGAAATTATAAAAATACTAAGCGGCCAGAGGCGCTGTGTGACCAGGCTTCGTTTGTACAGAAAATACTTATATTTCTTGCCACAACAAAATTTGGTATTTTTGTCAGTGCTTCTATCGATAGAAGGATACGTTATATTGCAACAATAACTTGCCAATTACTAGCGTCACACATACTACAAATACTACAAAATTGTTGTATTTTTATGCTCACTACTTAGGTCGATACATTGTTCCGATATATTGCAAGGCCTGCTTGAACATCACTAATGCCGTCATATTCAAAATGTGTATTTTTATTAGCGCTCACATTCTGCTCATATCGATATGTGTTTTTTTTTATCGATTGGCACACTACGACAGTTTGCTCATCACTAGTGCAGTTAGGGTATGCTTGCCCATCACTAGTGCGCTCATATACAAATTATAATATTTATAACGCGCGCATCGTATGTCGATAAGTGGTTACGATATTTTGCAACCACTGCTTGCCCATCACTAGTGCAGTCGCATCCCAATTTGGGTATTTTTATCAGCGCTCTCACGCTGCTCATATCGATAGGTGCTTGCGATATATTGCAACGACTGCTTGTCCATCGCTAGTGCAACAACAACAACAGAAAGATTCCAACGCAGCTAAAGCGAAAAATCAACGCCAATAAATTTTTATTGAATTTGATGCTGAATTTGTTATAAATGTAAATGCGTTACGTGTTTTTTAAAGCGTCGTCTGCGTTGTTTAACGTTATCGTAGCTATTTAACGGGACTACGTCGTCGCGTGCGAAACTGTGTCAAGTATAATATAACAACAACAAATAAATTCAATAAGTGCCCTGCTTATCTTTGTGTGTGCCTGTGTGTGCTTGTGTGTGCCCGTGTGTGTGTGAGAGAGAATTATGCATAATTAATTAATTCAAGGTGCTCCACATCAATTTCCGCCTATTTTAAATTATTTAATACTACGATCACATTTTATTTATTTATTTTTTGCCAGCAGCTGCAACTGGAATATAAAAGCAGCAGCTGCAGTAGCAGAAACAAATCAGCTTCAATCAGCTGTTTGCGCGTCAAAGCCGCTGTGAGTGCGAGTGAGAAAGAGGTAGCCTGCGTGCGCGCCAAAAAACGTCACAGCGGGCGGCACAGTGTGTCAAAGTGCGATGATAAGTTAGTGAAAAATTAAAAAAAATCTTTTGTGCTGCGATAAATTAAAAAAATTTTTAAAAGAAAGAAAAAGAAAATTTATTTAAGGTAAGTAAACCGCATTCAGCTCTGTAAAGATATTTTTATATACAACCCTTGGTAGCTTTATATAAATATATATATTGTCAGTTTATTTTATATTTCGTTTACAATTTTTATAAATAATAAAAATAAATGGTACAAATAAGAAATTAAATAAATAAATGAAATAATAATAAATAAATATTTAGCCTGATTGTATATCGTTTACAATTTTAAAACCGCGTGTGTGAAAAGTAAAAAATAAAGTATAAAGTTTTAAATAAGTGCAAAATGAGTGAAGCAATAGAAAATGTGGAAGCAGCAGCGGCTGAGTCTTTATCTCCAGCAACGGAAACGGACGCGGAAATGCCTGTTCCAGTATCCAAGCTGAAGCAGCCCAGTCGTTCCAATATTCCAACGCCCGCTTCCTCCGCCTCATCGGTGACTGGAATGCCAACGAAAATAAAGCCGCCTTCCAATTTCGGTTCGACTGGTTCGGTATCGAAAATCGGACGACCCTGCTGCAATCACACCACACCAAAATCGGGTCCACCACCTCGAGGTGAGTTTCTATACATGATTCTTATACTAATAAATAAGCAGTTTTTAGAGGTAGTTTACTGATATTAGATATAATATATAAATTATAAGTAGGAAATATGTGGAATATTTTTATAAGCCGAATCCTTTTAAAATGGCTAAAAAGGTGCAATTTATTTATGCAAATTGATATAGCTGGCAGAAGTAAGCATATCCATACTCTATCCGTAAAGTATATATGATCTTGATCAGCATTAAGAGTATAGTCGATTTAGCAAAGTGCCTCTCTAGGAACCCATTGCAAGATTTTTTCATTTGGTAAAGATAATTTTTCTACTACTTTGCCTATTACAAATAATATTTGAACTGTAAATTATAATTTCCAACTATTGAGAATATTTCATCATCTAGTAGTCATTAACATATCTTCCAAATATACTTTTATATGTTCTCTATGCTTATTTGGGTTCCTAGCTATTTTCCTACGTGTAAAACTCAACCAGGGAAAACTTAACGAATTAATTAAAAGTTTTCTCATCTCTAAAGGCGACCCCCATTCAGAAAAGACTCACGCTCAGTTGCAAGTCGCTTGTAATTCCGGTTTTATCAAGTAACAGAAAGTATGTGTGTGTGTATTAACAACACCCACTAGTGAAATGGGTAAATGTTTCAGTTCAGATCTAATCGAAAAAAATGACGCACCCACAACTTGGAGCGTTGCCTTTCAATAAATAAATAAAGAAAATACAACAAAATTGCAAATTGCAAATTGTACTTCATAATAAATGGAAATCGCTGTGAGAAATCAAATGGATTGCATTTATTTATATATATAGCAACTGCTTTGCTGTGTGAAATCAGATCGGGCTATTTCTGTTTAATGCGTCAACTTCAATTGAATTAAAATGTTGTCCAACTCTAATTGGCCAACAATTGTTTTGATTTGTAAACAAATAAAATCGCTTAAGCAGAGCAGATAAGCAAACAGACCCATTCAATTGACAAGCTGACAGACAGACAGACAGAGTCACAGATGCCTCTGCTCATAATTAAGCAGCTCAACTCTTTTAGAGCCTTTTTTAATAGTCACATTACGGTCAATTAAATGAAATGCGGCTACACTAAAAAAAAAGTAAATAAATAAAATTTATATTTTTGGCTTGCTAAAAATAAGATTTGCATTTCTTATATTCATGCTGGATTTTTCTATAATTAGTTTTTAGAAATGCATTTCTTGATAATAGAAAATATTTAAAAAAAAAACGAATATTCGCCATATTTTTGGGATTGTTGACAGGACAAACATTTTTAATTTTTAGAAAAATGTTTTCTGAAAACAAGAAAATCTTTCTAGTTTTTAGGGTGAGTTTTTTGCTGAGTGTAGCATTTAATTGAGCCGGTTTCTGCTCTGCTCTGGGAAATGGAGGCGTCTGTGACACAATTTCATTCACGTAATTGTGCCAAACCACATTCGCAATGCGATCGTATTTTAGATCGACCCATTAGCCCATATATCCATATCATATAATATGTATTATTGCACTAAACGAGCCGATTCGAGGCGATCCTCGTCAATTGAGTTGCTTTAACCGCAGCTTGGAAATCCCTCATTTTAGTCTCTTGTTTTGCTCTTTAATTCTCTAATTAAAGTAATAACGAAAGCTTATTGCTCTTTAATGTGTTTTATGGCAAATATCATTTTTGAGTTTTTTAGATGTCTAAAAGTACTCTCTTATGAAATTGCTTAAATTTTGACAAAGTTATGGCTTTTTAAATTTACGCCAATTTCAACATTTTTGCTTGGATTTCGAGTCAGAATCGCGTTGCCAATTTTATATCTAGTAATATTGCAGAGGTCAAACCATCGTCAAAACTCCCTGACCCAGTTTCGATAGAGTTATTTGCTGTTTGAAATTTGAAATCGGATTCGCATTACTTTTGTTAGTGTTAAATTCCGTCAATTTACAAATTCGAGTAAATTCAGAGACAAATTGAGTACGTGAGTAGGTTGAACTCATGAATGGCTTTTAATGAATGCTGATAAGGATTGAGTCTGTTTCATTTCAACTCATTTCATATTCATATTCATCACTTTACTTAGACTTACAGATTATTTATTATTATTATTCGTCCTACCAAAAGCAGAACCTCTTCTATCCTATTCACCTTTCTTAAACCGCAAATGTGAACTCTCCTCACTTCCCCACTCCACTATTCATATACACAGACAACGCCTGCAAGTTTATGGATATTATCCTGGAAGAAGCGCTTTCAAATAAAAATAAGCTAGCTTAAATTGAAATAAAATGACTAAAGTAGAACAGAAAATACATCTAGTCAAAAGTTATTTTTAGACAGACTGATAAAGTGATTATAACCGCATAAAAAGCATATGTATATTAAGAATTAAGTATTGAGTAAGTAACTATGAAGTAAATCTCTTGTTGTGTATTGCGTGTCATTTATCTCACTCTCTCACGCGCTCTCTCAATGTCAAATTCCCACCTGGGAATATCACAGCAGCCAGCACAGATCTATCTCTCTCTTTCTCTCTCTCTCCCTCTCTCATATGTAAAATGTAGCACTCATAAATGAGTTTTGTGTTCTGTTCTTGCTGTCTATCTGTGTGTCTGTCTGTCTGTCAGTTGAGCTGATGACACACAATTTGTTGTTGTTTTTGTTGCCTTTTGCTATATTTTTGCGCTGCGCATTTGCCACACACACAGAGACACCTCTCTTTCTGTCTCCCTGTCTCTTTTCCTCTCATCTCTCCGCATCTTTTTTTGCACTTTCACGTTTTGTTTTCTAGTTTCTGGTCGTCGTGGGGCAGAGCTTATGTCATTTTATTGATCTTGATCGGAAACAAGCGCCATAAAAAAACTCAAAATGTGTGCGCTACAAAAAACTGAAAGCTCATTTGTCTGGGACCTGAGATAGGATCTTTAAAGCTGTGTCTCTGCTCTCTGATCCCCAACTGGTTGGGGGGTAAATCTAATGAATGTACTTCTCTAATTTCAAGCACATGCAGACCCAATTTGACCTCGTCTCGTTATAGATTTTTAGTGATTCATTTTAGAATTTATTTTAAGTGTCTTCGATTGGCAGATCTCAGGACTACAACAGCTAGAGACTTCAAATTTGGAATTTAGGTTCTCGTATACCCGCCGCAGATCAATTTTGCTTCATTTTATCGATAACTGCCTCCGTTTCTCGAATATCGATACATTTAAATTTCCAATAGCAATAAATGCTACAATTTTAAAGCTAGAAAGCATATGCATATTATTAATCAACTGCCCAAATTGAAGTAAGATCGGAAAGAAACACCCAAGTTATAGTCGAAAATACATTCTCATCTTGATCTCATTTGTAGGGAAGAGATGGCATCATAATCGACTCACATTTTGGTGCAAAACTTTTTAAAGGGAAATTTTTGAAAAAAAAACTAGAATATATTTAACAACTGGGTTCAGGGTATGCCGTAGTCGAGCTCACTCGACTACAGCACTCTTACTTGTTCTTACTGCGCGCCAAGTGCTAAAAACCAAAAGTAATTCAGAAATTCAGACTCAGACGGCATTAAAAGCAGGCGCCACGATCATCAATCAAAGCACGCACCCATTCCCAATAAGCAGCTAAAGAGTGCAGTATGCTCAACTAGAAGTTACTCTCTAATCAAATATGAATCTAATTTCACAAGTGCATCAAAATTCCAGTGGCATATTGCAAATTTCCAAGTGTGGCAACTCTCTTTGCTGAGCTTTGACCGCCGTATTAATAAAGAGACGATCAGTTTGCGAAAAATAAAAATATTAAAAGTAAGCGCGTCCGCGTTACGAGCTGAACAATAAAAAAAAAAAACAATAGCGAACAAATAACTTTACGGTTTCGTCGTTTATTCAATAAAAACGCGCTTGCTCCACACACACACACACACATAAGCATTTACACTTCGCTACAAAGCTCGGTTCGCTTGCGCACTCTCTCGCTATCATTCTTATGCTCTTCGGTAAGCTCTCTCGCTCGAGCTCTCTCAAAGCTCGCACTTATCGTGGGGTCTTTGCAACTTGTGCAAAACTTGCGCGTTTCCAGTAACTTCAACGACTTTTCGCGAGACGGACGCGCTTTTTTACGAGCAAGCAGCTCCCAGCCAGCAATTGGCTTCAACTGAACCGATACGACGGCTATATATTATAATATATATTCCCAATTAGTCTGCCAATCACAACTAACTCTTACAAATTAAAAACAACAAAGGTGAATTTTGATAAGAATAAAATATACAAAAAAAAAAAAACAAACTAAAAGTATATTAAAAGTAAAAGTTTTGCATTGTTGTTGTCCTCTGTGCTGCCCTAAAAGGCATATTTTCCAACTTGTGCTCTAAGTGCTGTGAAATTGTCCCAATTCAACGGTTTCTATATACTCTCCGCTGACACTCGGAAAGTAGATCACCCCATATTTTAGTAAATCGCCATAGTTTTGGTGCCAAGCGTAGATCAGATTATATATAGTCAATTTCTTTTGCTCATTTTAAGGCACATTTTTCTAAAATGTAAAATGTATTTATAGCCTGATTTTTGTGGTTTATATTAGCTTATAAAGATTTAAATTCATATAATCGACAGCTAAACTCCGATATACAAGTCGAGCATGTAAATTGCATTACTCTTTCTTAACTTTGGCACAAATTTTTTTCTAAAAATTACTGTTTGCATTTATATTTTTAGAAATTCTTTTTCTGAGTGTATACGTTTGCATTGCATTGTTTAAAGTGTCTGTGTTACAGTTCTGTTTGTTTTTGATATTTTCCCAAAACGTTCACCTTGAATCGGTTTGGTTCTTTTGCAGCAGATGTCTTTACAATAGGGAAAAAGAGAGAGAGAAATAAATATTAATAATTATTAGGTTTAAAATAGAGAATGAGAGAGATAAATAATAATTATTAGGTTTACATTTGGCAACATGACAGCAGTTTTGTTTTTTTGTTTAGTTCAAACGCTGTATTTTGTGATAAGATAA